ATTGATGAAAAATTGGATGTGGAAAATGTCAAGAGTGATTCCTGGTTTCTGGTTTGCATAGCCAAAGATAGTGGGACCATTTGATGAGAAACTGGAAAAGTAATGTTTGTGGAATACAGATCATGAGCTAATGAACTTAGTAAGTTTAGAGTTTAACTCTGGTTTTTTCTTTGTGATTCCAAAGTGGAGTGTGAATTAGGTAGTTGGATACCTAGAGCAAGAAACCAGAGGAAAAACCTAGGCTGGACATACAAGATTATGATTCCAATTTATTCCTGTTATAATTGAAACCAGGCATTGGTGGGACTACTAGAATGAGGACATTTAATGAGAATAGAGGGACAGTGACTAAGCCAAGAAGTCTTAAATTTAATGGCCAAGGATAAAACCTCCAGAGGTAATAAGGAAAACAGCCAGAGAGAAAAAAAAAAAAAAAACCAAGGTGTCAGAGAATCCAAGAGTAGCGTATTTTTAAGGAAGAAAGAATAATAGTCTGCTGTGTCAAATGTTGCTGAGGGGCCAAAAAGATGAAGATTGAAAATATCTGTGGGATTTAGGAATATGGAATTCCTTAGCAGAATGACATATAACAGGAGCAGTAGCTAGGTTGGACTATGTGGAGTGATAAGTGAAGAAACAGATTATATATATACACATATATAGACAGTGCTCTCTCTGGAAAGATAACAGAGTAGGGCAATAGTTGGAGAGGAATGAAGGAACCTAATGAAATCTATTTTAAAAAAGAGAGATACCTGAATGTGTTTAAAAGCCAGTAGAAAGAATCTTATTGAAAGAGGAAAAAAGAACAGAGGAATCAGGTTATGGAGAAGGCAGGAGGATAAAGGATCTAAAGCTCAGTGAAGAAAATATCTACCCACCTACTCCACTCTATTTAGTTTTTCTTTCCTGGTAAAATGGTTTAACTATAACTCAATGTTTTAAAATACACAAATATGCCTGTTTGTCCTTTTGCCTTTTTATATTTTGGTATTTCTTAAAACACTATATCAAAGAGTCAAATCCATTTCATTAATGGTGTTCTTGTGTCTTTTAGGGAACTGATGGAGTAGAATATTTGTTAATTCCTGTTGACAATGGAACATTGATTGATTTCTTGGAAAAGGAAGAAGAGGAGGCTTGAAGCTATCTTTTGCTCTTGAATCTTCCATTGGAAGGGTTGTTGTACCCAGCTGCCACTCTAGTCAAAAGTGTTGTGTTTACATCCAACATTAGATTATTTTTCCAGCATATAATAAGATTCAACGTTAGGAGAGGATATGTCATCAATTAGATCTTTTGATTAGCCTGGCTGGTGTACCATCTCTAGTACTATGCAAGTGGTCCTTGAGTTGCAGAAAATGTGCCTTTCACTCATTACCTCTCTGGAGACTTCTTGCTGGAATGATCAGTGTGCTCAGGGACTATTTGGAACTGGATGCTTTTGAATTCTTTTCTACTAAAGATATTATTCCTAATTTTTTGAGGGCCTTTTAACACTCCTGGAGCTGATTGTAAGTGTGCTTGTTCCAGAGCACAGAAGTACAAAGACAGGCATCACAGAAGTGTGTTCTTTGTTTCGGAACAGATGAGTGGAGACAATAGATCATTTCTTGCTGTTTGTGAAATAATTTAAGAAAAGGTCTGGGGGAGAAGAAGTAGGTGATCTGCCTTTCTCCTTTTGAATTTAGGCTACATACTTGGTAGGGGGGTAATACTATTCAGTTGGGAAAGTGGGATAAGCATAAGGACGGTATAGGGTATATACCCAACTTAGAAAACACATCAACTATAGATCATATTTGGAAAAGTCATTATCTTAGCCATGACCTTGACCTTTATGATACAAGTGAGAAGCCAGGCTAAAGAAACTGAATCCTGACTTACATTTTAGTTATTGTTTTCAGAACACAAAATAAAACATTTCATTATTCTTGTATATTCACAATAGTGTATTAGTAGTTGGCTGAAAATGTTGGTTTCTCTGTCAAGTAGACATTGATCTCATTGTAAGATACTTCAATTTTTTGTTAAAGTGACAATTTCAAGCCTCCTGGATATTTACAAAAGCTTTTCTTATTATCTATAAGCTGACAACAGTGGTCAAGCTTAGCTTATAGATTACACAAACCCCCTGAAATTTGTCACACCTGAAAATGAAATTCATTTAAATATCATTGTAATAAAGTCTTCAGTGCATCAGTTTTTCTTGTTTCTTATCCTGTAAACCTTTTTCATGAAAATATTTCCAGAAATATTTGGAAGTTTTTTCATATAATTAATTTCATGTTAAGTCCACTTATTAAGGATTTAGTCTCATATATAACTACTAACCAAAATATGTGAACAAATTTATACCTGAATATGAGATTAAATAATTTAATAGTACCAAAGGATATTCAATGAAAATGAATTTCTTTCCCATTTCCTAATCCCTGGTCCTTTAGGTAACCACTGATAGCAGTTTCTTAAGTATTCTTCCAGAGGTAATCTATGCACATGTAACAATATGTCTTTCTCTTTCAAAAACATAATGGTAACTAATGTACTTGCTGGTTTGCACCTTGCTTTTTTGCTTAATATCTAGTTTTGACAACTGTTAACAGTATAAAAACTATATAAAACCTTTAATAATCTAATGTGCAAATTTTTGCATTTGCCTTTAAATATCTACTGGTTTATTTTTGTAATTTTTGTGTTTATACTATTTGCAAGCAGTGTGTGTCAATAGAATTTACTATTAATAAAAATCCAATTTGGATAGAATCACCTTTTTAAATTTATAGTGCTGTTTTCTTACTAAAATATCTCAAAGTAGTTTCAAAAAATTTTTTGAGTTCATCTGACAAAACACTGATGATCTTGGCAGAAACATCATATGTTCATCATTAACTTGTGTCAGCATCATTGTTTCCTTAAGGTCCAGCAGTTATGTCCTGGCTACTCTCCAGCAGTTATGTCCTGGCTACTCTCCCTCTTCCCCACTGATGGTGATTGGGGCTCAGCGGTAGAGTGCTCGCCTAGCATGTGCAAGGTGCTGGGTTTAATCCTCAGTACTACATAAAAATAAATAAATAAAATAAAGATACTGTGTCCAACTACAACTAAAAAAAAAAAATTTTAAAGAATATCCAATCATAAACACATTCTTTGACCCATTAACCATTTCTAGAGCTCTATCCAAGAAAATTACCAAAACCTCCAACTAAATGAGATATTGCCATCATCACAGATGAAATCACATCATTTTTGTGTGCTCAAAAGAAAAAAGGGTTTAAGAGTCACTGAACCCAAGCTTGCTTTTTTTTTGACACAGGGCAACCCAGGAATGCTTACCCACTGAGCCACATCCCCAGCCCTTTTTATTTTGAGACAGACAGGGTCTCACTAAGCTGCTGAGGCTGGCATCAAACATGGAATCACTCTGTCAGCTTGCTGAGTTGCTGGGATTACAGGTGTGCACCATTTTGTCTGGTTCCAGGCTTTCTTCTTCTGTAGCTACATGGCTATACCTTCCTGCCTCCTGCTCACCCCTTACCCTGCCCCAGGGACATTTTATCACTTATCTACATTCCTAGTGCTTTTAATTTTATTTACTTATACTGAGGATTGAACCCAGGAGCGCTTAGTCACTGAGCCACATCCCCAGCCTTTTTAATATTTAGAGACAGGGTCTTGCTGAGTTGCTGAGGCTGGCTTTGAACCCTCCATCCTCCTGCCTCAGCCTCTGAGCCACAGGTATTAACCAGGTTTGTGCCACTGTGCATGGCTGTTCCTTTTATTTTTTTGAGACAGGGTCTCACTAAGTTACTTAGCGCTTCAGAGTCGCGGAGGCTGGCCTTGAATTTGTAATCCTTCCGTCTCAGCTTCCTGAGGCAGTGCCTCTTGCTTTCTAAGTAATTAATAATGAACTAATTACTTGGGCTTTCCAGTATATGGTGATATTTCTCTCCCATGTACATTTGTTCAAGCTGTTCCTAGTGACTGAATTCTAATCTACTCCCAGAAAACCTTCCCTAGCTTATAATTACCATCCAAATTTCTGATCTGTGCTACCCCCATGTGTTTTAGGCCCACCATATAGAAGGCAAATGATGACTGACTGGATCAAATACCATTAGATAATCCCTCAAAGGTGGTCTACTAACTCATTCTCTCCATTTTGATAGTGTTGATCATCCCTTTGAAGCTTTCTCCTTGGTTCTGACACTACCCATTCTTTCCTCACCCTCTTTTCTTGGCTCCTCCTCCATTTATAATTGGGGCACTTCACAAGACTCAGGCCTAACATTATTTCTTCAATGGATCAGAGTTAGAGGAGAGCCACTGAACAATTTCTAAGTTAGGATCCTAAGTGCTTGGGGAGATAGATTGGTTAGAAAAAGTAACCTACAAAAGGAATGTAAAATCCAACGTGTTGGACAATACTTTAATAAAAGATCTGCTTTTATCATTATCAAAGCAACTTGCTCAGAAGAAAAATTGTAAATACTTTTCAACATACTATCCAAAGAAAAATCACAGCAAAAATGGGTTTCTTCCAGGCTGCTTCTATCAATTTCATTGTAAATGTGTTTAAGAAGTGATTAAGCCAGAGGGTTTGGTGCCAGACTGCCTGCATTAACTCCACCATTTCCTAGCTAAGCAGCCTTGGGAAAATTACTTAACCTGTGTCAGTTTCCTCAACTTTAAAATGAGTATAATACCTATATGCTTATTTATAAGGATTGAAAGTTAATATTTACAAAGGACTCAGCAGAGCACCTGGCATAAAATTAATACGGTATCATCAATATTATTTTGAGAGACAAGCATCATTTTGTATACTAATAAAATTACACATAAGTCACCTGGAGAAGCAATAAATTGAAAAATGTTCACTTTAACAACAAAAAAGGCAAAAAATCCTGACACGCATTTGGGAGATTTGAATCTAGGTGGATCTAGGAATAGTTACACATAAATAGACTGCTTCCTATAAATAAATATTCAAACCCAAGTTTTTAAAGCTTATGTAAATATATTTTTTCAAAGGCATAAACAGTGGTTTATTTAAGAAAGCAGATACATATTTAAGGGAGAGTAGGGGCAATGTGATGCCTTTGGAGTAAAGTGAGAAATATGCACTCAAGGAAGAATGTGGACTATCACGGAGGGGGGTGGGGAGAGCAACCCATTGGTGTGGGATGGTAATATTTACAAAAATCTTTGTATTTTTAAAGCTCTGAAAAGGCAGAAATTTCTAGATTGGCATATCCTATCTACAGTTTAATACAATGATTACTTGAGCTAATTCCCAAGAATGTTAAGTAAACATAATTTAGTAATTTTTTTATAGAGTTCTTTAATATGGTAGTTACATTTCAGTTTTTACCTTATGAGCTATAAAACATTTGGTGAACCAGATTAACAAATCAAAGATGATAATACATTCTAAGATTCTCCTTTGGAAGTATCCCAATACCACTAACTTAAGTTATACATCTGAGTTTCGATCCAAATGATTTTTAGATTGTGTCATCCTTATGTTCCTGTATGTGTTATACAACACAAAGTGGGTCCCTGTCTGTCTCTGAGAGGATAATATCAACCTTATTCTCCAAGTGCACACGCAGCATATCTTGAAGGTCAGAAAGAAAGCCTCGTTCAGTGTTGCTGTGTTCACAAAGGATGACATTTATTCCTTGGGAAGTAGCATGCAAAACATCATGATGAGACATTTCACCTAACAAAAAGGAAAAAACAAATACTTAAATATTAGACATGAAATTCTGTATGAAGTAAATGTAATACATGTAACTACATATAAATATAGAAAACTATAGTTTTCTTACATGACCCTCAGTGTGAAAAGAGGCCATCCCACTGAAAATTCTCTTACTTCCTCTGGGAAGACCCCAAGCAAGTCAGTCAGCTTTATATCAATATAATAAAATAACTGACACAGCCTATTTAGGAAGAGGTTTATTTATTTCAAAATTTTGGAGATTCAGGCCAAATGGCTTAGTGCAGGCTCTATAGTGAGGGCCATCCCTTGGATGCATCATCTCCTGGTGTGGATGGTAATGGTAGGAGCTTATGTGGGATCAAAAAAGTGTTCACACCTCAAACTTAGAGCAGGGAAGACATCTCGGGCACCAGGCTTCCTCATTTTGCAACAATCCTCACAAGAGAACTCAAGGGATCACACAAGAACTACCTTCTAAGACCACACCTCCAATGACCCAAAGACCCGCTAGGCCCCACTTCCCAAAGGTTCCTTCACCTCCCAATAATACCACTCTCAGGACCAAGATCCTAACACACGAACCTTTGGGAGGACATAAAGCACATTAAATCACAGCAGTAAATCTCTAATCTAGTATATCCAACCAAAACCATATCTGTAAGAACACACACTGAAAGTGTTTTCACAATAAAATAAATGACCACTGCTAAGTAAAACAACACTTTCAGGAAGTCCCCTTCTTAGAAAAGCAATAAACACCTAAAGGGAAAATCACAGGTATACTTCCCCCAAGTTCCTCTTATGAGTTATGAGCACCAATATTTTCACAATCAACCCCAGTCTAATCATAAGGATGAAACAAGTTTAAAGATATTTCTAGATTTATTTAAAAAAAAAAAAAAAAAACAAGCATAGTATCCTTTATACAAAATGCTGGGCTGGGTGTGGTACAATAGCACACACCTGTAATTCCAGCAGCTTGGGTGGGTAAGGCAGGAGGATTGCCGGTTCAAGACAGTCTAAGCAACTTAGCAAGGTGCTAAGCAATTCAATGAGACCCAGTCTCTAAATAAAATACCAAAAAGGGCTAGGGATGTGCTTCAGTGGTTAAGTGCTTCTGAGTCCAATGCCCAGTACCAAAACAACAACAACAACAAAAAAACAAAACCAGGGGACCAGAAATGTTGAAGTGTTTTAGATTTGGGATTTTTAATATGGAAATATTTACATAAATATGTAAGATATCTTAAGGATGGAACCCAAGACTAAATAAGAAATATTTCACATACCTTATACACATGGCATGAAAGTAGTTTTATATAATATTTTAATACAACTGTGTTTTGACTGTGACCTGTTACATGAAGCTAAGTGTGGAAGTTTCCATTTTGGCATCATGTCAGTGGTGCTCAAAAAGTTTTATATTTGGGGGCACTTTGGATTTTTAAATTGGGGATACTCAACATGTATTTTTCCTTGACTAATGCAAAATTCCTAGAAGTTCTGATGTTATTGGTAGAAGATCTTTTATAAAATTATCACATCTAATGTTTTAATGAACTATTAAAATACCACTTTGTGATCTTCTGGGAGGATTGAACACAGGGGTACCCTACCACTAAGCTACATCCTGAGTCCCTTTCATTCTGAGACCCAGCCTTGATAAGTTGCTGAGGGCTTGCCTTTAACTTGCTGTTATCCTTCTGCCTCAGGCTTCCAAGTACCTATGATTTATACGCATGTGCTATCTCATCAGGATATTTGTGAGCAAATGATGACTTTAAATTTGATAGCAAAAATATAGTGTACACAATTTGGGATGCTTATAAAAACATAATTTTAAACTATATTTATATAGCCATAAATTAAGAAGAAAGTTTTTTTTAGGGGGAAAATGAGTGGTTTTATTTACAATGATTTTCAATTCTCTACCAATATGTATCATTTCACTATTAGATGTAGTTTGTTTTCAAGAACCTTTTTAAAAATCTTACTCTATAAAAGTGAAAATAAAGTAAAAGTAGAAAAAGACACTAAAGTGACAGGGTTGGAAGCCATGTTTTAGGGGAAGACAGCCTGGCTGCCCAGAATATCATGAACTCACAGGCTAGAGAAAGCACAAAAGTGGGAAAATCAGGAGGACCCTGTATTAAGAATAGAGGCCAAAGGAAAGAAAAGCCTGGCACAGTGGGAAAGAATAAGCAAAAGGAGAGTAAAAGAGACAAACGAGAAATAATTTGGTTTGTAACATGACAGCTTCCATTTGCTGATCTTTACAGTATTTTACCCATAAAGACCTAACACAATGCTATAAGGACAAAGCTGAGGAACTATTCCAGACTGAAGAACATGGATCAGCAAAAAAAAAAAAGCTATCGTGCATGATGGCGGTGTAATCCCAGGGGCTCAAGAGGCTGAGGAAGAAGGATCACAAGTTTAAAGTCAACCTCAAGAACTTAGTGAGACCCTGTCTCAAAATAAATAAAAAGGGCTGACGATGTAGCTCAGTGGTAGTTCAATCCCTGTCCTCCCCAATCCCAGTCCCCACCCCCCCACTAAAAAAAGAAATTCTATAAATTTTGATCAACCAGAAAATTTTAATATGACTGCATATAATATATGTTTTAACAATATTAAATTGACAAACTCAATAATTTTTCATAGTTATATAAAAAAATATCTTTGTTCTTAGATTATTTATTGAAGGGTAAAGTGGTATCACATCTTTGATTTACTATAAAATGGTTTGGAAGGAAATACATAAATATATATGTGGATATATATTTTATCATACTAACACATTATACATACATATACAGGGTGAGCATCACTAATTTGAAAATGTGTAACTTTTTTCAATGCTGCCAACATGATGCCACAAGTAGATGATTCCACACCTGACCTCAAATAATGGTTGTAATCAATATGGAGATATACTAAGAATAATGTATAAAATTACCTTCAGACCATGTTGATAAAATGCATATGAAACATGAATAAATTCTGTGTTCCAGGGCTGGGGAAATAGCTCAATTGGTAGAGTGCTTACCTCGAATGCACAAGGCCATGGGTTCAAACCCCAGTACCACCAAAAAAAAAAAAAAAATTCTGTGTTCCATCCCTAAGATATCAACTCATTAAGTATATGCAAAATTCCAAAATCCAAAATATTCCAAAATTCCAAAACACTTCTTATTTCAAGCAGTTTGGATACTTACCCTGTATATACATATTCACACACATGAATGTAATATGTACATAATGTATACATAAAGAATGTAAAACTGTGCCACGTGTGGTGGCACATGTCTCTAATCCCAGCTGAGGCAGGAGGATCATGAGTTCAAAGCCAGGCTTAGCAAAAGCAAGACTCTAAGTAACTCAGTGAGATGCTGTCTCTAAATAAAATACAAAATAGGGCTGGGGATGTGGGTCAGTGGTTGAGTGCCCCTGAGATCAATCCCTAGTACCCACCCCCCAAAAAAAACCGAATGTAAAAATATGACAAAATGTGTAACCATTAGTAATCTAGGTGGAGGGCATACAGGAGTTTATTACACTATTTTGTACCTTTTCTATGGGTCTGAAATGCCTTCAAGTAAAAAGTTAAAATTATTATTATTATTATTATTTTTGTAGTTGTAGATGGGCATAGTGCCTTTAATTTACTGGCTTTTTGTTTTTTTTATGTGCATGCTAGGCAAGCGCTCTTCCACTGAGCTACAGCCCCAGCCCAAAATTAATTTTTTAAATAGGCACATGTCATACTATAAGATAATCAGTTAAATCGCCTATATATTGAAAGTTTATTTCAATCTGGCATGAATATGTGTGAAAATGAAGGTCCTAAAAATCTTATATTTTTAGAAGAATAGTAAATAGGGTAATGGTCAAATACATTTTCAATTTATTGTCTCAGAGCAATCACATCAGACTTGCTCAGACACTGCACCTCTCTACATCTGGATGTCATGACACTTGGAGTGCAGCACCCTATGTGAAATAGTGCACTAGGTAATACGGCCTGGATGTGGGGCAGGACAGGCACAGAAGAAGCCACAGGAATGGTCAGAGGGTGAAGACCATACAATCCAGCTCCAGAAGTAGGAAAACAATTCTTTGACTTACTTTATGCTAAATTCAAGGAGGAGCAGAGGTGAAAATACAGTTGGTAGCAACAAGTGTACAAAGCGTGGCCTCCAAACACCTCCAAATCCTTTGAAGGGAATGATAGGCTAAGTTTGGTCATATTCCTTAGTAGTAACTAGGTCAAAAAATTCTTTCAATAAAAATTAACCCGGGGCTAGGGATATAGTTCAGTTGGTAGAGTGCTTGCCTTGCATGCACAAGGCCCTGGGTTCAATCCCCAGCACCACAAAAAAAAAAAAAAGTAACCAGTATCTTTTAGGTTGTATCTCAAGGACAGAGTAGAAAGCCTAGAAGTCAGACAAATAATCATGTACTGTCCAACTGAAATGTACATTAGAGGTCAAGAACAAAGGATTAGGACTCCAAGAGGGGCAGGAGCAAAACAATGTCAGCAAAAGCTTTACAGAGGAGATCTCTGGGTTTATCATCACAAGTACAAAGAAAAGGACAAGGAAAAGGTATTCTAGGCAGAGAAAAGAGCATAAGAAAAGGATATATGGCAAAGGATGCAATGTCTTAGTCTTCACTAAGACAGATGAATAAAATCATCAAGCCAGCTGTGATGGCGCATGCCTGTAATCCCAGCATCTTGAGAGACTAAGGCAGGAGGATTTCGAGTTCAAAGCCAGCCTCAGCAATGGTGAGGTACTTAGTAACTCAGTGAGACCCTGTCTTTAAATAAAATACAAAATAGGGCTGGAGATGTGGCTCAGTGCCCCTGAGTTCAATCCCTGGTCCAAAAAAAAGGAAATCATCAAAGGCCTTAAAACCTGGATAATAACACTATCAAATTTGTCCTTTCAAGTTAATTTTGAGCTGGGCATGGTAATGCACTCCTGTAATCCCTGAGGCTCAGGAGGGTGAGGCAGGAGGATTGCAAATCCAAAGCCAGCCTCAACAATTTAGAGAGTCCCTAAGTAATTTAGCAATACCCTGTCTCAAAATAAAAAATAAAAAGAACTTGGAGCTGGGGTTGTGGCTCAGTGGTAAAATGCTCGCCCAGCACATGTGAGGCTCTGGGTTTGATCCTCAGCAACACATAAAAATAAATAAATAAAGTTATTGTGTCCAACTAAAAAAAATTCTTAAAAAAAAAATAAATAAATAAAAATAAAAAGAACCAGGGATGTGGCTCAGTTATTAAGCACCTCTGGGTTCAATCCCTGGTACCAAAATAAATAAATAAATCACAAAAAAAAAAAATTGGGGGTGGAGCATAGGAAGATAAGATTAAAGGCTTGAGACAGTATATCAGGTAGCAGATGATGCCTAGAAAAAAGGAAAAAGGTTCTAGAAAGACTTTGGCAGTTGAACTGATAGGACTTGCTGACTAGCTATGGGGCTGAGTAAGAGGAACCATTTTCACTAGTTGCACTTTAGTCTCAGCTTCTTGGTTGAGACAAGAGGATCCACTGAGCCTAAGAGTTCAAGGCCAGCCTAGGCACCAGAAGGAGATCTATCCCTGGAAAACAAAATTTTTTTTTTTTTTTTGGTACTGGGGATTGAACTCAGGGAAACTTGACCACTGAGCCACATCTCCAGCCCTATTTTGTATTTTATTTAGAGACAGGGTCTCACTGAGTTGCTAGTGCCTCACAGTTGCTGAGGCTAGCTGTGAACTCACAATCCTCCTGCCTCAGCCTCCTGAGCTACGGGGATTACAGGTGTGCATCACTACACCCAGCCAAAATAAATTCTTTTTTAAAAAAGGGAGGAGCCATTGTCAAGGTAACAAAGTGTTCTATTAACTGACATGATATTGGAGAGAAATCAAGTTGAGGAAGAAAGTATACTACAAAAATGCTCTATCAATTTTTGATAAACTAATAATAAATGATTAAATTACTTCTATCCTACACCAAGAATACAGTGTGCCCCCAATTCTTGTATAGTTCCTATGTAGTTCAAGTTCAAAAAATATTAGACATTTGTATTCAGTACTGTTCTAAAATCTGCTATTTCTGAATTTGTAAAAAAAATAAAGCAAGGTTGAGAAAGAGAGCTTAAGGCTGTCCTACCTGTGAGGTAAAGGTCAGCCTCTACCCCCTGCAGAACGCTGCTCCCAGATCCAGCACACAGGGCCACGACTTTGATTTCGGATTCTTAAAGAAAATTGGAAAGAGAGATCAATATTTCATAAAACCCTTTCACTTTAATATTATAATTTAAATATTATAATTTATATATTTGTATTATATAAATATATAATATTTATATATTTGTATAATATACATTAATATTATAATTTATAATATTATAATTACCCAATGTAATGCAGATTACATTCCTGTTATCATCATCAGTATATGAATCATGCCTGCTGAATTAAAAACATTTGGGGGGAGGGTGGTTACCAGGGATGAACTCAGGGGCACTCAGCCACTAAGCCACATGCCCAGGCCTATTTTGGTTTTATTTAAAGACAGGGTCTCACTGAGTTGCTTAGTGCCTCACTTTTGCTGAGGATGGCTTTGAACTTGCAATCCTCCTGTCTCAGCCTCCCAGCTGCTGGGTTTACAGACATTCACCACCATGCCCAGCTTAAAAACATTTTTAATATAGGCAACTAATCCTTAATGAACCCAAATCATAGCTTTGGATGTGACTTCACAAGCCTACAAAACTCTGAATAGTACTAATGGTGCAGCTCTAGGCTTTGTTGCAATGCTGTCAGGTCAAGTAATTTCACCTGGATCAACAGTGAAAAAGATGGCAGCACTAGCTCTCCTTTCAGTTTCTTTCGAAGCTGAGAAACTAAAAGGGTCAGCTGGAAAGAGGATTGCTATCAGTGGATTTGGAAAATATGTTTAATACAGTATTTAGCCTCAAAGATCAGCTTCTGAAAAGTGAAATGACAGACATTTCCAAGCCAAAATCCTCTTAGGTTCCTATGAGCAGTCACCCCAGGTTAACGTATGGTATCAAAGTAGGGCTGTGGGGTTGGATAGAAACCATACTCCATCCATCATTCATTTTCTTTGGAACTTATTCTCAGGAGTCATTTGATTTAACTGTGCCTTTAGGTAAGTTACTTATCTCTCTGAGCCTCTATTATTACTCCTACAAAATGGGAGTAATAATACCTTCCTCACAGTCAACACCACTACCATTTACTCTAAAGTGTGCAAGTCACACTGTGCCATGTCACATGGATTACACTAAAACATAAGTTATTTCATCATTAATGCAGTCTTTATAGCTGAGGCCACCAGGGCACAGAAGAGTCAAATAACTTGTCAAAAGTCACAAAGCAGGGGCTGGGGATGTGGCTCAAGCGGTAGCGCGCTCGCCTGGCATGCGTGCGGCCCGGGTTCGATCCTAAGTACCAATACAAACAAAGATGTTGTGTCCACCGAAAACTAAGAAATAAATATTAAAATGCTCTCTCTCTCTCTCTCTCTTTCTTTAAAAAAAAAAAAAAAAAGTCACAAAGCAAATAGAAGAAACTGGAACCCAGGTTGTCTGACATCAAGATCCACACCCACAACCACTGTGCACCTGTTTTTGCAGTGGGAGCTCACATACTTAGAACAGACACTCATTATAGTGCTGCCCCTCACTGCAGCTATCCCATAAATGTCTCATCATTATATTTGTTCCCAAAGTACTGGGAAAAGATAGAAGAGAAGGCATTAGCTACAGAATCAGTAACTGAACGTCACTAGATCAATTTTAAAATTTAAATTTAAAATATCACCCTTCTTGCAAAGTGTCAAAATTTATATTGTTATTGTAGCAGTCATGAGTCCAGCTCTCATCCTGGCATATGATGGGACTGCACTTTATGTCCTCTCTGGGTTTTATTGGATAGTGTTACTAATTCTGGACACTGGACTGAGCAGACCTAACACATAACATTTCCAACCTGTTATTCTTAAATAATGACTTAACACCCTTCTCTCTTTCTCTCTGTGCAACAGCAACTGGTCCTATAATGAACAGACTTCCCCTGCTGACTTGTGATGAACATGGTAGGACTAAGAAATCTCACTGTTTAAGCCAGTGAGTTGTATTCCACAGTAACCTAGCCCACACTGATCAACAAAGTAAGCCAATCATTTCCCATAAGCTGCTAACATGTTCTTTATCACTTATTAATAAAACCAAGAGTTTTAACCTTTGTCCATGGTCACCAATAGTGTATTGAATAAATGAAGGAGACATATTTACCTAAAGTCCTCCCTACACCAAGAGCTAAGCGAAGATGAGACAGTTTTAGGTGTCTTTTGATACGTTCAATCATGGTTGCCAGGGAGACAGATTCATCCAGTGTGCATAATCGCCCCATTCCAGTTTGTAGAAGCAAAGGCTGAAGAGAAACACAAATTAGAAACACTTTCCATCAAGCCAGGTTTGATGGCTCACACCTATAATCCCAGCAACTTGAGAGGTTGAGGCAGGAGGATCACAAGTTTGAGGCCAGCCTCAGCATCATAGAGAGAACTTGCCTCAAAAAAACCCCCCAAAGACTAGCCAATATCAGTCCTAAAAAATAAACTTACAGAATAGTAAATACTAACTGAAATTTTAAAAAAATATGCACTTTATGAACTTACTGTAGCACACTCCAGGATAAAGTCAGGGGAGGCAAAAACATTCTGACTACTAGGAGTTTAGAGCCTTCCAAGAGGGCATATATTTAATTAAATAATCATAATAAAAGTGGGTTAAGTACAAGGTAGGTGCTATTGTTAGGGAACCACAAAGAAATGACAACTTAATTAAGCTGGGTCTTGGGGTGAAATTTTAATTTAAGAAGGTCTAACACAGAATTGGGTCCTACAGAAAAACTAGAAAGGAGTTCAAAAGGGGTGATGTCAAGTGAAGTGTGGTAATAGAGGAGTAGAATGAGATGGGGAAGGGCATTCTAAACTGAAAGAACATGTACAAGGCATCAAAGGTGTAAGACAGCAGCACATTGTGAGGGCAGATCCAACAACAGAAAGTATAGCTGATGTGCACAGCAGATGCTGGGGAAGCAGAGGAGGCTGGAGCAGTAAGGTCTTCCTGTGTTGTGCTAAGAAGTCTTCTTAGGCCACAGCAGGTACCCAGTGAGGAGACTACTAATATCCCAAAGGAGGCAGATGAGAGTTTAGCTGTAGAAGCTCTCAGCTGATAGAGCTTATAAAGAGGAGAAACATTTTATAAATATGGGGATAGAATCTGCAGAGCTTGGATTTACAGGACAAAGGGAGAAGTTGTGGAAACTTGAAAATAATTTTTTAAAAAAAAGGATATAAAGGGGTGAGACAGAAATAAGGTCAATATTTTCATATAGTGGAGCCTGATGTCAGGTGCATGCCTGTAATCCCAGTGACTTGGGAGGCTGCCGCAGGAGGACCACAAGTTCAAGGCCAGCCTCGGCAACTTACTGAACCCTTGTCTCAAAATATAATTTAAAAAGGGTTGGGTAAGTTCTAGAACCAATGTAGGTGCCTGTAAACAGATAAATGGATAAAGAAAATATGTAATATTATACAATGGAATTCTACTCAGCCATGAAGAATGAAATTATATAATTTTCTAGTAAATGAATGATACTTGAGAACATCATGCTTCGGGAAATAAATCATACTCAGAAAATTAAGAGACTGAATGTTTTCTCGTTTGTGGAAGTTAGAGACAAATAAGAGAAAAAAAGGAGGTGGGAGATATGAAAATAAAAAGGCAAACAATGGAATGGACAAAGGTGATCAAGGGAAAGGGAAGAAGGCTGGGAAAGAGGAGCAGCTGCAGAATGAAACTGACCCACTTATATGCATATATGAATATATCTCAATGAACTCCCTTTTTATGTATATCTACAATACACCAATTAAATAAAAACAATAAACAAATAAGACAAGTAGAGTAGAGAAAGGAGATCAACGGGAAGAAGGAAAGGGAAAGGAGAAGTCCTGGAAACTGAGAATGAAAAAACAATGTTACATGTATTTATGATTATGTCAAAATGAACCCTATTATTGTATTAAAAACATTTTAAAAAAATAGAAAAAAAGACTGAAGATGTAACAGCACTTCCACAAGGCCCTGGATTCAATCCAATATACCCACACACACATACACATACAAAACTATATATATTAGATCTGAAATACTTGTGAGAAGCCAGGCATGGTGGCACACGCAGGTAATCCCAGCAGTTCCAAAGGCTGAAGCAGAAGGACTGCAGATTTAAGGCCAGCCTTAGCAATTTAGCAAGGTCCTAAACAATTTAGTGAGACCCTGTCTGTAAATAAAATATAAAAAAGGGCTGGGGATATGCTCAGTGGTTAAGCACCCCTGGGTTCAATCCCAGGTACAAAAAAAAAAAAAAGAAAGCATTCTGAGTCAGAAAGTAAAGATAAAGGAATCAATATTATATGTATATCTGCCAAGTTAACAGAGTAAATGAAATGGTTTAAAGAAGGTAATACAAAAACACAAAACCTATACCCCTCTAAGTAAGTCTGTGCCCCAGAGGAAATACCAATGTTTTCCTATTCTTGGAATATCTCCCTTTCTCAAATTAAATCCTCATCACGACTTTGCACTTTTTGTTCTTCTTTGTGTGTGTGTGTGTGTGTGTGTCTGTATATGTGGTACTAGAAATGAAACCCAGGGCCCAGGGCCTCACACATGCTAGGCAAGCTCTCTACCACTGAGCTATACCCCCAGCTCCTCCCTTTGTACTTCTTTTAGTAATTGTTTCTGGACTGTTGATCCAACAGTATAAAAATAAATTTGTTCAACAAAAATACAGAAAAATGAAATTCATCAAATGGTACACATTAAATAAGTGCAGTTCTTTAATTGATTTGGCCTCAATAAAGCTGTGAAGAAATGCACATAATGTAAAATCAAATATAAAATACTTTTTCTTAAATATTTGTATAAATGTTGATGGACCTTTATTTATAGAATCGAAATCAGTGCCTCATTCTGCTAGGTAAGCTTTCTACTACTGAGCAACAACCCCAGTCCCATAAAATGCTTTTATTACCTTCTCCAGTGACAGAATTTCAGTCTTTTGATAAAGCTGCCTGTTCTGGGAGAGAAAAGCCACAACCTGCATCAAAGCCTTCTGAGTACAATTTAGACTGATGCGTGTTTGTTCTTCATTGTCAATCCTAGAAAAAAAATCACTCATTGGTTTGGGATAGAAAAAAATAATATATTTTTAAAATTCCACAGTTGACAAATTAGCTATGATAGAGCGTAATTATATGAAACTAAGGATATGACCAACAAAACTCATTTCATCTCAAACCAATCCTTGTTCTAAAATTGTGTTTCTCAAACTGTAACATGCATCAGAATCACCTGGAGGAATAATTAAAACAGAGTACTGGGCCCTATTTCCAAGTTTCTGATTCAGTTAGATCTAGATGAGGTGCTGTGAATTTATCTAACAAAATGTCCTCAAAATTTAGGAGGTGGGGCTTGTTGAAGGAAGTGGGTCACTGAGGGCATAGCCTTAAAGGGTATATTTTGTCTCTGGCCCCTTTCTTTCTCTCTCTCTCACTCTCCCTTCCTCCCCCCTCAGTAATGCCCTAGAGCCTCCCTCCTCCCAAAAAATGGCACCAAAATGTTTTGATAATCACAGAATTCTAAAACTAAAGGACACCTTAAAATATAATCTGGGGGCTAAGGATGTGGCTCAGTGTTGAAGTGCTTGCCTAGCATGTGTGAAGTTCAATCCTCAGCACCACCAAAAAAAGAAAGAAAAGAAAACATAACCCGGAAGCATAGCTGCCAACATTGGAATCAACTGTGGTGCTTCAAAAGGACAAACAATAGCCGGGCCCCAATTAAATAGTAAAATCTAGATATGAACTGTAATATGGAAAAATTGAACTGAACTAAAAAGTCCATCAGTAAGAGAAAGAATGCTTAATGGAACTGCAATACATCATAATAAGCGACATTATACAGCAATTAAAAAAAGATTAATTAAAAAGAATGGTATAGACATAAATGAAAAGATCTTTTAAGACATGCTGTTAAGAAAGACAAAAAGAGCATACTATTTAACTAAGAAAACAATGTAAAATAAAACTATATATTTCTTCATGTCCTTGCATCTGTTTGAAAAGATACCCACTTCTCTATAAACAAATGAAAAGACAACTTGAATTAAAGATACTGGGATTGAGTAGAAGGAAGAGGGGACTATTGTATTGTTTCAATTTTTCATACCTCCTTTGTAGAATTAACTTTTCTTTTAATTTAAGTATTTATACAGTATTTAAAAATCGCAGAAGATATTCACAGCTGAAATCTTTGCAAAGTCCCAGGAATAATTTTTCTGGAGATTCTTAAAATTCTCTGGAAATACTCCAAGATATTTTCGATGACTTTACAATAAGGAATCAATACTTTTTAAAAAATCACTCATTAAGCCAGGCACACTGGCACACGCCTACAATCCCAAAGGCTCAGGAGGCTGAGGCAGGAGGATTGTGAGTTCAAAGCCAGCCTCAGCAACTTAGCAAGGCCCTAAAGCAACTTAGTGAGACTCCATCTCTAAATAAAATACAAAAAAATAATAATAATAATCACTCATTACAGAGATCATTTTTTGGTGTAACCTCATATAATGATTTCAATTTTAATAAAGAGTCATATTTATCATTATTTTTTAAACAACTGTTCAACCCTCACTCTGTATACCTTGCTTTTTCTTTGTCTTTTTTGGGAGGGGTTGTAATTCTGAACCTAGGGCCTTGCCCATGCTAGCCAAGTGCTCTACCACTGAGCTAAACCCCCAGATCCTACCACCTTTTCTGGTACTTCCACAGGTATCAGACTAAAAGAAAATCACCCCTCTCTGCCCTAAATAACTAAATAATTGACCTTATAAGAGGAACTTCAATGTATTTTTCTGTTCAAGTGTTTAAGGATCACTAATTTGCCAAGAACTGAGAAAAGCAAGCCTTATATTATTACTACATAATTAGGGTCTGTCTGCATTCTCTAAAGTAAAAAGAATTACCCCTAAACATTACCAGGAGGATTAGAAATACTACATGTAAAATGTATGGTATGATCTCTCCCAAGTGGAAAATATTCAATAAATATTACCACTTTAATTATTTTGAAAAGATTCCACAGTTCACCTTGTCTGGAATCCACAGGCACATGAGAAATACACAGCTTGTAAACCAATGCCAGGAAAATATAATTTGTTTCAAACCTAAGTATCAGAGTATAATGGTTTGGACCTGAAGACTCTTCCAGAGGCTCATGTGTTGAAGGATTAGTCCACAATGGAGCAGTGGGGACCTTTGGGAGATGACTGGATCATGAGGGCTCTGACTTTATCAATAGATTAATTCATTTATGGATTCATAACTCAATGGGCTATTGGGAAGTGGTAAAAATATTAGGAGGCAGGGCCTACTTGGAAGAAATGGATCACTGGGGTCGTATCCTTGAAGGGTATATTTTGGCCATGGCCCTGGCTCCTTCCTCTTTCTCTCTGCTTTGCTGTTGCCATGAGGGGAGCAGCACTGTTCCACTACTCTCTCCACCATGATGTTCTGCCTCACCATAGGCCCAGAAACAATGGAGCCCAGAAATTATGGACTGAAACTTCTGAAACCATGAACCAAAATTAATCTCTTTCTTTCTTTGATTTCTCTTAGTTATATTGTCATAGCAATAGAAAGCTAAGACAGAATTACAGACTTTGTAAGAAAGTACTTACCTCTAGATAGAGCAAAGGGGTGGGAGCGGAAGGGGGGGTGGCATAAGGGTAAAAAAGATGGAGGAATGAGATGGACACCATTACCCTAAGTACATATATAAAGACACAAATGGTGTGAATATACTTTTATACAACCAAAGATGTGAAAAATTGTGCTCTATATGTGTAATATGAATTGTAATGCATTCTGCTGTCATATATAACAAATCAGAATAAAAAGTAAATTAAAACAAAGAAAGCACTTACCAATAAATACACTTACCAATAAATACACAGAAAAAAGAGAAAAATACATTGTACCTAGCAGAAAAAGAAGTGACCGAAACATCTCCAATTCCTTTCACTACAGACATGACTTTTTCCAGGTCTTGGGTGTGGTTAACACTAAATTCTATTCGATGAGTTCCTTCTGTAGGGTAGTTGGGAGCTTTGGAAGGATGTATAGGACTGGAGGTGCAAGCTCCTAGAAAAAAAATTGTGGAAAACTAAAGTTCTTGTTTGTTTTTCTTTTAAGATTAAAAAGTAAGATAAACTATTCTAGGCAAAATAAATGTATTTTTTAAGATTTGGACTGGGGATGTGGCTCAGTGATAGAGAGCTTGTCTGACATACACAAGGCCCTTAGTTCTACCATCAGCACCACAAAAAAAATACACTTTCATGTTTTTGTAATACACACGCACATATATACCCCTATAGTCTAAGGATTTGGTATGGACATACAAAATCAAATTCATTCAAAAAAAAAAAAAAAAAATCAAACCAAGCACAGTGGTGCACACTTTTAATTCTAGCTACATGGTATGAAGATTGCAAGTTCAGGGGCAGCCTGGGCAACTTAGCCAAAGAAGAACTATCTCAAAATAAAAAATAAAAATGGCTGGGAATATATACAGTTCTGGGGTAGAGTGTCCTGGGTTCAATCTCTTGCACCACAAAGAGAGAGAGAGAGAAACATTATTGAATTATATTCCCGTATTTTAAATTTCAGAAAATTCTGGACAAGAAAGACTGACTTGTGGAATTTTTTTTTTTTTTTTTTAGGTGATACAGATTATCTACTGCTTGGTAAATCTATCCATGTAAAATGTACCCATTTTTTCCAGGTGACAAATGTTCATAATCTGTTGAACACATTACTAGAGATGTTTCATCATAAAAGCTTTAGCCCACAATGACTTATCAAAAGTCACCCAAGGGGCTGGGATTGTGGCTCAGCGGGAGAGCGCTCGCTTTGCACAGGTGGGACCTGGGTTCGATCCTCAGCACCACATAAAAAGAAAGGCATTGTGTTGTGTCCATCTACACCTAAAAAATAAATATTAAAAAAAAGTCACTCAAGAAAAGCTTATTAGAAAGTATTATCTTAAAATAACTTACAAAAATAAAGCTAAAACACATATGCTGAATTCCTTCATTACACTGGACATTATTAAACTCCGATGTCTCGGTCACTAACATACCAAGTATATCCTGGACAGGCCTCAGCTTTCAATTTCAATTCAAGCATTGTTTGAATGCCTGGGTTCTAGTCACTGCATCACATGAATGAAGAATTGTGAAGTTGCCTAACAATGATGAGTTCTTATGCTTTCCTTATTCATTAAGGATAACAATGTTTGGTTTTTCAAATGCAATTTAACGGCCAGACTTCAGCAACATTATTTTAGACATATAAAAATCAAATGATGTCCCCTCACCCCTAAAACAGTTAAAACTTTACTGGAAAGACATTTTAAAATTTCTAAGTATTTGTAGGAAAATGTTAAATATGAAAGAACAAGAGGCTTCTCACCAAGCCCTTTGGCCAACCAGTTGTTGACTCCCTGGGGTGCAGCATCATAGGCTGTGTGAGGAGAATAGATGCCAACCCTATTCTCCAGAGCCCGGATCACCAGGCGTTCCTTCCAGCTTTTCCAGGTTATCTGCTTCAAGGGTCGGAAGATAGGTGGATGGTAGGAGAGGATGAGATCTGCCTTCTTTTGCAGAGCCTCCTCCATTACCTCTTCCGTCAAGTCATTGGTCAGGAAGAGAATGTTTACAGTATGTGGTGGACTTGGTTCCACCAGTAATCCAACATTGTCCCAACTCTCAGCAAATGAGAGGGATGCAAAGTCATTCAAGGAGGAAAGAAGAGCCTTCAAATCCATGAAGGAACGGGAAGTAATGCAGATACCGGACTGGACAAGCCGGACTGTTGCGGGAACCAAGCGTACACAAGATGATAACATACAGAAATCAGGTAAAACTGAGTATCTGAAGTCAAAATACAGGAAATGGTACTCCGGAACACTTTAGGTCTGGACCTAAAAGGCATCAAAGCATGTGGGGAAAATATGTCATTATACAGACCTGGTTTCAAGTAGTGGCTCTGCCCCTTTCCAGCATAATGTAGCCTAAGTAAGTCATTAACGTCTGACAGCTTTTCTCTCATGTACAAAATGGAGACCCAACCTACACTGCAGGCCATCTGGACAAGCAAATAGATTAATATGTCACCTAGCAAAACCTCACATATAATATACTAATATACATTTCTTCCTCCTCCACTCTCCCCATACCTTGGTGATTTGTTTAAGTTTTGGATACTGGGGATACTACACAGTTTCATTTTCCCGCTAAATTACATTGCCAGTCCCTTTTATTTGGGGACAGGGTATTACTAAGTTTGTTTTGAACTTGCTCTCCTGCCTCAGTCTACCAATTTGCTGGGACCAAAAACATGCCCCACCAGGACTGGCTCATATCCTTATTTTTATTCTCCCCAACCTTGCTTCAACGACCCTCATCACCTCTCCATTACTCTTAAGTATTACCCTTCCAAACTCTCTTTAACTTCCTAAATAAAGCCTTTCTCCCTCCAACATAACATTGACATACTGTTATAATTCTTTTAGCTTCTATGCTAAAGCTACTGGAGAATAGAAACTATCTTTAATAAATCTCAGCATCAGCAATCCCAGTTCCTCGAGATTCTGAGGCAGGAGGATCACAGATCACAAAATTAAAGCCAGTCTGGGCAACTTAGAGATACTGCCTCAAACTAAAACATAAAAAAAATCTGGGGATGTAGCTCAGTGGTAGAGTCCTACTGGGTTCAATCCCCAGTACCACGAAACGAACAAAACATAAAGCAGGGGATAGTGTAAGCGTAAGCCTTGTTTGCTATTGTTAGTAACATTAGTAGGGCGCTACAAACTACAAAATGTTCCCTCTACATCACTTCATCTACTTTCATTTCAGTGCCACCTCAAGCCCTTTCCAGGACAAGAGCCAGGTAGGGCAGCCGTTCTTGAGTCAGGACCAGCAAGTGTCTCTCGTATGCCGAAACAGTTTTCTTCCCTAATGTTCTTTCTCGGCAGCACTCCAAAACAATCACAATCAACCCTAACCACGACTTGAGGCAAAGAGCACAACTACCCCAGTAAGTTTTGAAATCGCCCACTACTCACCGGTTCCGGAAACTCTCCTGTACGTCACTTCCGGTACTGAGCTTATTTTCCTCCACGCGGCGCCGGGCGGAAGTGGTCCAGACCATTTTACTTCCGAGTCTAAAGCATTGCTTTGTTTGGCCAGGTAGTTCCGGATTATGTTGTTTCTCTGTTTGTGATTATTAATAAAGATCTCTTTCACTGTCAAATTCAGGTGTAGGATAAGTAACATTATCCCTCTAGTTCTATTCGTTTTGGTTTGCTGTAGGAGGAGAGGGGAGATAAAAGGAATTCACATAAGGGGCCCCACGCTTGACTTCTGGTGGCCCAAAGAAACTACAATTTCGAGTCAACAGACCTGCGGTTTAAGGCGATTGTATCTTTCCTGTTTTAACAACGACTGTGCTAACCGAAGTGGTAAGTATGGAATATCATTTATTTTTTCATTTACTTATTCAGATGTTTGGTGAGCTCTGTGTTGGCACTGTTTTAGTTTTCCGGATACTCTAGTGAACATTCTGTTCGGCGAGAGTGTTATTGTCAAGTCAATGGGAAAATATGTAGTATATTAGTGATCAATATTATGGGAGAAAGAAATAGGGCAGGTCTTAGGGTTAAAACAATTTTAAATAGGGTCAGTAAGACCTGACATTTGAGCGCAGACTTGGAAATGAGGAAATTGGCCCTTTCAAATGTTTGAATGTAAGTCTTCCAAATAAAGGAAATACCCAGTGCCTAGACTCTAAAGTCCGCGTATAACAGGTTTGTCCTACAAAGAGGGTCGGGAAGATCAGGGGAAGTAGGAGATTGGGGGCTTGAGTTGAGTAGGCTATTCTCTTTACTTCTATGATGCAATTTAAGACTTTTTCTTTAAAACAGTAAATATAATCGTGTGTGAGTGAACGAGATAGGAAAAAAATGAACTGATTCTTTTTTCTTTTAGGAATAGAAACTTATTTTCAAGATTTTCTCTGAAAGACTGAGAAATTAAATCGTACTTCCTGAAACCATCACGAAGAAAAATGGTAAGCTTTACAGAATTCTTTTAAATTCTTTCATTATAAGTAATTTTTAGAAATTTGGCCAAGGAAAATAAAAATACAAGGAAATTTCAGTGACAAGATAAACAAATGATAGATTATCAAAGCATACAATGTAGAATGATTTTTTAAAAATTTTGTTGGTGAATTATAATTTTGAGACCCTGTCTCAAAAAACAAAACAAAAAAACTTAAGTTCTGAGGCTGGCCTCCAACTTGTTCTCCTGTCTCAGTGTACCTAGTAACTATGACCATAGGTGTTTGCCACTACACCTGGCAAATTTTTCATACTTTCACTTAAAATACACAGAATTTATTTTTTATGGAAAAAAATTGATAATGAAAAAGATGAGTTGGATTATCAGAAGACAATAGTAAATATAATCATTTAAATTGAATTCCTTTGCTCTCAGTCTAAGGAGAGCAACTAGAACTCAAAGAAGAAGAAAAGCAATAAAAGTGCCCTGTTCTTCCCCCAACATATATTCCTATCACCATCTTCAACATAATTCTATTCTATTAGATACTATTTTAAGAAGATAAGTGAGCCCAGTGCCATGAAGCACACCTGTAGTCCCAGCGACTCAAGAGGCTGAGGCCAGAGGATTACAAATTTGAGACCAGCTGCAACAACTTAGTGAGGCCCTAAGCAATTTAGTGAGACTCTGTCTCATAATAAAAAATAAAAAAGGCTGAGAATGTGCCTCAGGGTTAAGCACCCCTGCCAAATATATAAATAAATAGATAAATAAATAAATGAAAAAGAAAGCCTTTTCCAAATGTTTTTTACCCTCTCTAAAATAGGATAACAGGATGGCAAAGGTATATACAAACCAAAACAACAAATACTACAGAATATAAAATAAATAAAAAGCAATTAAAGAGCACTATGGTTACCTCTGCAAAGGATATAGAAACATTGACAACTTTTTAGCTTTTGTTATGTATAGTCAAGAAAGGAATTTTTTAAAATCCTATTAGAATTAAACTACCTACAGGAAATAATGGATACTATGTTTTGAGGAAATAATTTCTTACTTACCATTTTCCAACAAAAGTGATGTTGGTGGGGCTGGAGTTGTGGCTCAGTGGTAGAATGCTCGCCTAGCATGCACAAGGAACTGGGTTTGATCCTCAGCACCACATAAATGTAAAATAAAGATATTGAGTCCACCTAAAACTGAAAAATAAATATTAAAAAAATGATGTTTGTGACATAAAGCAATAATATATGACAATTATTTTTATTTTTTAAAACAGCATTCTTTTTTATTTTTTTAGTTGTAGTTAGACACAATATTTTTATTTATTTTTATGTGGTGCTGAGGATCGAACCCAGTGCCTCACACGTGTGAGGCGGGCGCTCTACCACTCAGCTATAGCCCCAGCCCAATTATTTTTATTTTTATTCATGAAAAATTCAAACCTAAATAATTATTCTTGGGCTGGGGTTGTGGCTCAGTGGTAGAGTTTGCCTAGCACTTGTGAGGTACTGGGTTCGATCTTCAGCACTGCATAAAAATAAATAAATGAAAAAAAGGTATTGTGTCCATATACAACTAAAAAGTTCAAAAAATTATTCTCTTTTTTTGATATTTATTTTTTAGGTGTAGATGGACATAACATAATGCTTTTATTTTTATGTGGTGCTGAGGATCGAACCCAGGTCCCTCCCATGCGAGGCGAACACTCCACCGCTGAGCCACAATCCCAACCCCTCAAAAATTATTCTCATCACAATATTTGCTTCCAACTTTTTTTTTAGCAGAGATACCACTTTGCACTAACATTGATGTTTGTCTTTTGGAGTTTTTCCCTGCTGTTGAAATAAATTTGGGGTAAGAATTACAACTCATCTCAGAGCTGATATGTAGTTGGGTCATCTTTTAAGCAGTATTTCTGTTTTTAATTAGATTATCATCTTGAATCTAGTCAGGGAAATAATACAGTATCTGTAGTCACATAAAGAAATCTCATTTGTTCAATATTCTCTCTCCTTTTTAGTCTGTGACATTGCATACAGATGTAGGTGACATTAAAATAGAAGTCTTCTGTGAGAGGACTCCCAAAACATGTGAGGTGAGTACCGTATGTACATATTAAAAATAATGCAATCAGGCATAACTTTCCTATGTTCATATATGAATAACACGACCAGTGTAACTGTATATCATGTACTACCACAAAAATGGGAAGTTAGGGGTGGGGTTGTGGCTCGGTGTTAGAAAGCTCTCGTCTAGCGCATGCAAGGCGCTGGGTTCAATCCTCAGCACCACATAAAAATAAATAAATAAAATAAAGGTATTGTGTCCAACTACAACTAAAAAATAAATATTAAAAAAAAATGGGGCTGGGGTTGTGGCTCAGTGGTAGAGCGCTTGCCTAGCATGTGTGAGGCATTGGGTTCGATTCTCAGCACCACATATAAATAAATAAAGGTCCATCTACAACTAATAAAATATTTTTTTTAAAAAAATGGGCGGGGGCTGGCATGTGGTTCAGCTGTAGAGCATTTGCCTAGCATGTGCAAGGCACTGGTTTCGATCCTCAGCACCACATAAAATAAATAAATAAAATAAAGGTCTAAAAAATGGGAAATTATATTCCATATTCCATGATATGCCAAAATACATTCTACTGTTATGTACAACCAAAAAGAACAAATAAAAAATCAATAATGCAAGCTGGGCAATGTGGCACACGCCAATAATCCCAGTGACTCAGGAGGCTGAGGCAGGAGGATTGTGAGTACAAAGCCAGCCCCACCAACTAACTTAGTGAGGCCCTAAGCAACTTAGTGAGACCTATCTCAATAAAATAGAAAAAAGGGCTGGGGATGTGGTTAAGGGAAAAAGAGAGAGAGAAAGCTGTGTGTATTCATTCCGTTACTGGTGAAAGGTTATCTTGCCAGGATCTGGGAATACAGTGGTGAACAAGAGACACTCCTTGCTCTTGTGGAGCTAATCTAGCTGGGAAAATAGATAGGACATGAAGACTAAATGATTCTAAAAGGTAAAGTAGAGTATTGAGGTACAGAATAATACAATAGGAAAGAAGCTAATTAAGGTATGGACAGATCTACCCAAGAAACTAATAATCAAACTTGAGTGCAGAAGGTATGAAATCATCTCAATGGAAAGAGATGTGAAAAGAACATTTTAGGTACTGAGAGTGTAGCTCAGTGATAGAGCCATTGTCTAGCATATGTGAGGTTCTGAATTCAAATCCCAGCACCCCAAAAACCAAACCAAAAAATTCTACATATAGAAGTAGCAGGTACAGAGTCCCCAGGGAAAACCTTACCCTTTTGGATGAATTGCCAAAATGCTAATAGGCTCAGCATAGTAAGCAACAGAGAAAGGATTATTATCATATGAAATGCAGAGGGGAGCCAGATCATGTAGGCCTTGTTAAGCCCTGCTAATAAGGACTAAGACTTTATATTTTATTTTATTCTGAGAGCAAAGGGAAGCTTTCTAAAGGGTTTTTGGCAGGGAAGTGACATTACCAAAGTAATACCTAAAAACCATATTTAATATCACTGCTATCATGTTTTTTCAGTAAATATGATTGGTTCTTTATCTAAAGTGCATTTCTGCTGTACTATTTCTCAATCATCATTTTTTTTTCTCTTCAGAATTTCTTGGCTCTTTGTGCCAGTAATTACTACAACGGCTGTATATTTCATAGAAATATCAAGGGTTTCATGGTTCAAACAGGAGATCCAACAGGTAAATTTTTCCATTAACTAACATCAGAGGAATTAGATGTATAATATGAAGAAGAGGGTGAAAAGAATAATGGAAAAACAAAGCATGTGGTGTCTGTATAATGGGCTCCTTATAACAGCAAGAAACTTTGAAGCAGATGGTATTCACACTTGCCCATAAATTCTGACTGATATTATTAAGGAGGGTTTTCTTTCTTTTTTTGATAGATGTATTTTATTTTTCTGGTTTGTATGAAAGCTGGGGAACTACAATATAAAATTTTATTTGTATTTAAAGTGTTATGCTCTAAAGTTCCCCTAAGTTTTAGAAATTGAATTTTTTTTTTTTAACTTTAAATATATCTTTTGGGGGCTGGGACTGTAGCTTAGTGGCAGAGCACTTGCCTAGCATGCATGAGGCACTAGGTTCAATCCTCAGCACCACATAAAAATAAACAAAATAAAGTCATGTTGTCCATCTATAACTACAAACAAATTTTTAAAAAATATATATCTTTTGATTTTCTTGTCTTGTAATATAGGTACTGGAAGAGGAGGTAACAGTATCTGGGGCAAGAAGTTTGAGGATGAATATAGTGAATATCTGAAGGTATATCCCAGTGCTTCAGAATTTTATTTTCTCTCTGGTTACACTTGGAGACATTGACAGATGTGTTGTAGTAACACAAGTTGATATTATTACTAACTACTTTTTAGTGTTTGATAAATGAAGTTAGGGAGAAAATATAAATGGCAATTCTAGCCTGACACATGTACTGGAGTCCCACCACCTCATTGATCTTGATAGTGAGCTCATCTTTTGAGTCCAACCTGAAATGTTTAACTTGCAGTATACCGAAGAAGCTTAATGTCTCACCATAAAGTTCCTGTTGAATGTCATGAATCACTGACCTTTTTTGAGAGGGGAAGGAAATATTGTCTCTTAGCTAATCAATTGCTTATTATCAACCCCCATCTTTTATCATCTTGTTAGATGATTGAACATTCATGTAGTAATATAACTTAACACTTGGGGTAGATCTCAAGTATTTTAAAGATCTCAAGTATTTTAAAGAATTAATGACCACGTCTTATACCAGTTGAAAACCAGAGATCTTGGGGTAGATCTCAAGTATTTTAAATATAAAAATGATAAAATTAGGGATTTTTTATTTTCTTTGTTAACTTTTTTCTGTATTTTTCAAGCTTTAAAGAATTTGTTTTTCCTGAAATTAAGAAAATCTAGTGAGGCATGGTGGCAGATGCTTGTACTCCTAGCTTCTTGGGAGGCTGAGGCAGGAGGGTGCAAGTTCTAGGGTAGCCTGGGCAATTTAGAAAGATCTTTTTTTTTTTTTTTAAATATTTATTTATTTATTTATTTATTTAGTTTTCGGCAGGCACAACATCTTTGTTTGTATGTGGTGCTGAGGATCGAACCCGGGCCGCACGCATGCCAGGCGAGCGCGCTACCGCTTGAGCCACATCCCCAGCCCCTAGAAAGATCTTGTCTCAAAATAAAAAGGGATAGGGAGGAGCTGGGATAGTGCTACACTTCTGTAATCCCAGTAGTTCAGGAGGCTGAGGCAGGTAGATCACAAGGCCAGTCTCAGCAATTTAGCAAGGCCTGAAGCAACTTAGCAAGACCCTGTCTCAAAATAAAAAATTAAAAGGGCTGGGGATATGGCTCAATGATTAAGCATATCTGGGTTTCAATGCCTGGTACCAAAAAAAAAGGCGGGAAATGGGGATGTAGCTCAGGGGTAGAGTACTTGCCTGGCTTATGCAAGGCCTTGGGTTCAATCCCCAGTACCAGGGTGGGGGAGAGAAAATATAGTGCTTGCCAGTTTTAGAAAATCAGTTCTACTTCACAGAGATAACTTCAGTTAACAATTTATTGTGCAATCTTTTCAAACTTCATATCTATATAGAGTGATATTTTAGAATTAGAGAAAAGTGATTAGTTTTCAACTAGAACATGCAATTTGGTATATTTTAATTATATTAAAATATATCTATTATAAAAGTTTAAAACTATTTAGTAATAGAATTGGTATAGCTTTGTAAAATTTCAATTAGTTCTCTGTGTGTGTGTGTGTGTGTGTGTGTGTGTATATATATATATATATATATAAAAACTACCTGCAAAGTTTCTGCAGTATCAATGTAAAATATAGAAAGTTTTCTCTATTTCATAAGTTAATTTACATATTACATGTATATATGTAAATTAACTTATGAAATAGATAAAACTTTCTATATTTAATATTTATATATTTATTTCTATATTTAATATATTTCTATAACATATGTATATGTTACACACAAAAAAAAAATAAAATATACCCACAAAAAAAATATACCCACAAAAATAAAATATACCCACAAAAATTCTAAAAAACAAATTATTGTTTGAACTGTTTAGAGTTGATAAACTTTTTGAAAAGTCAGACTGACTTTTCCTGAATTAGAAACTAAACCGTTTTTTAGATGTGAATTAATGACTGCGTCCTATATCAGTTGAAAACCAGAGATTGGCTGTGGCATAATCATCTATGAAAGTTTTAGAACTGTAAAAGATAAGGGTCTTAACACTACTAAAATTTTGAGAAAAACCGTCAGTAGGACAGGTTAGGACATCAGCTTTATTTTCAGGTTCCCCAGTGATTCCATTGTAGGCAGGTTAAAAACCAATATGTTATACACCAGGATAGAGGATGGGGATTAAATTTGCATATATTCTCTTCCAGCAAGTCCATTCCCAAATGCTTACCCAAGAAAAACTCTTGTACATGTGCACCAAGGGACAGCAGGAGTGCTCCTGGCACACTGTTTATAAAAGTCTGGAAAAAAGCCACATGTCCATTGGTAATAAAATGGGTACAGTTTAGTCTATTCACTAGTGAAATATCACACTACAGTAGGAAAAAACATCAATGAACTACAACTGTGTACACATGTATGAATCTTAGAAACATAGCAGTGCTAAATGTAAAAGCATTTTCGAAAAGATTAAAGTTGTATACAGTTTTGTGGAGTTTAGAAAGTAGCCAAAGGAAACAAAACATAGTCTGGGCCTGTGTAAACCTATTAGAATAATGGTTACCTCCCAGGGAGGCAGATCAATAGATGGAGCAGAGCACATAATCATCTGCAACAGTTTGGTAAATGTTACTCTTCAAGCTGGGAAAAAAAATTAATAGATGCTTTTATTAAAATTAATTCTTCGATGGTACATGTATTCTTGTTTATGGATCTAGTAATATATTTGGTAGTCACCTTTTAGGGAGATAAAGCATTATTATATTGATGTAACTACACCTATATAGCTTGTCTATATACCTATGAGTTGTTAACACTAATCAGTGGAGTTACTTGTAGTGTATTTTATTTGGGGGCACCTCCCTATAGCATAGCTCGGTCATGTCTTCAGCTTTATCAATAAGGTCCTTTTAACTCCTGCACATACTCCCTTGTAAACAAATAGTGTCATGATATTAGTGCTAAATGAATCTTCTTTAGATCATCCAGTCTTAGGGTTATAGCTGTCCATGGGTAAAAGAACCATAGATAACATTCCCTATGGCCATCAGTGTAAAATAAATTGTTTTAATGCCATAAAGTGAGAGAAACTATTCACTATAAGACTCCATCTTTCCCTAATGTTTACATTCAGTTTACTATCTACTTGATCCTTGTGAGCATCTGAATTCTGAATAGACCCCTGAACTAGTCCAACTTCCCTTGTTTTGCAGATAAAGAAACTAGCAAGAGTCCTGTATATGAGAAGAGATTATGGGGAATTTGTTTTGTTGCCTGATTGTTTCATACCAGCACAGTATTCCTTAATATAAATGTAAGGATTATTTCTATCATTGCTAAAAGTGTTTGTGGCTATATTCTCCAAAGTGAAAATGAAATTATTGAGAATTTGATTTGTTATATAATTTATACAGGCTTTATAGTGATACAGATATATAGAAACTGAACATTTGGACTAACCTAATAGAGCTATTTAATGTTTTCTTGGTTTGTTAAACATTGGAAGGTTTGTGCATGTCTTATTTCAGTTTTATATTTGGAATAGTTAAAAACACAGATTAATGCTTTGTTCTTTTTTTCAGCACAACGTTAGAGGTGTTGTATCTATGGCTAATAATGGCCCAAATACCAATGGATCTCAGTTTTTTATCACCTATGGCAAGCAGCCACATTTAGACATGAAATATACAGTATTTGGAAAGTAAGTATTCTCATTATGTTTCTTTTAAACATTTTTTTTTAGTCGTAGATGGACACAATATCTTTATTTTATTTATTTATTTTTATGTGATGCCTCATATGCTAGGCAAGCCTTCTACCACTGAGCCACAACCCCAGCCCTCATTATGTTTTAATTTGATATCTCAGTGCATAAACATGACTGTGAGAGTAGTATAACTAATATTGGAAAGAGCCAAGTGGAAAGAAAGTTATAACTTCTCTAGACTTGTTATCCTTTTTTTATAAAAGAGGTATCGGTAATTTTTTTCAGGATTGTTATGTAAATGAATAGTAATATATCCCTTTTCATTAAAAATAGCATTTGTTGGCACATGCCTATAATCTCAATGGCTCCGGAGGCTGAGTCAGGGGGATCATGAGTTCAAAGCCAGCCTCGACGATTTAGCAAGGCAGTAAGCAACTTAGTGAGACCCTGTGTCTAAAAAAAAAAAGGGCTGAGGATGTGGCTCATTGGTTAAGCGCCCCTGGGTTGAATACCTAGTACTAAAAAATAAAAAAATAGCATTTAGCCGCAACAGATCTGAAAATATTTGCTTAAAAATGGTGGACTGATTTGATGGTTCTACTTTGCCACCAATTTTTGAGGTGCCTCTTGTTTTTTCACCATCTCTAGCTTTCATTTCAAGATCACTTTGTGATAAAAAGACAAAGGATTCTTGCCAGCAGAGTCAGCTTCTTCTTAAAGAACTTTCCAGGGAGACCAGAACTTATAATGTGGCCATACTTTACCTATAAGGGAGAGATAGGACACAGAGAAACCTCAGTAAAATAGGTTTCTCAGAATAAGAAGGGAAAATAGATCCTGGGGGTGTATTTAGCAGTTTCTACCACATTTCCAAGAGTTTCTTTTATATAAATTAAATTCTTAAATTATATATGACTTAAATTCATTCAACAAAATTTTTTTTAACTTTTTTGTAGTTGTAGATGGACAGAATGTCTGTATTTTATTTTATTTTTTGGTGCTGAGAATCGAACCCAGTGCCTCACACATGCTAGGCAAGTACTCTGCCATTGAATTACAGCCCCAGCCCTCAAAAAATATTTACCAAGCTCAATAATCCAAGGCATAATCCTATAATCTGTTATATTTATCAGTTTATATGCTAAGTTAGGTTAAATAAAAATACAGGACTACAACTTTTTTAAAAAATTCCATATAATTAAATCTAATTTATATCTTCCTTTTTTTTTTTTTTTTTTTTTTGGTACTGGGGATTGAACCCAGGCTGCTTTCCACTGAGCTGCATCCCCAGTCCTTTTTATTTTTATTAAGTTACTTAGGGTCTTACTAAAATTGAACTTGTCATCCTCCTGGCCTCAGGCTCCCAGATCACTGAGATTACAGCGTGTGTCACTGCATCTGGCTAATTTATACTTTGTTAATAGTCAATCAAGTTAATGAAATATTAGAGCATCCAGTTATCTTTGTATATGTATATAGGTAATGTAGGTTTTCTTCATTTTCTCCCTAACTTGTCATTCAGAATTATTCATCAGGAATTACCAGTATTTATCTTACTGGATTTGAAATGAAACAATGAAGTGTAACCTTAGGTTCATTAACTTCTTACAGCTGGATTTTCATATACATTTTTCTGGGAAAATGACCCATAGCCTTCCTCTGGTTCTCTAAGGGCCCCATGTCCTAGATACTTTATTAGACTTCATCTGCTTCAAATCTGTGTTTCGTGTGTTGGGGGTGGGGGGTAACTGGGGATTGAACACAGGGGCACTGTACCACTGAGCTGTATCCCCAGCCCTTATTATTTTTTGAGACAAGGTCTCACTAAGTGCCTAGGCTGACCTGGAACTTACAGTTCTTCTGCCTCAGCCTCCAGGTAGCTGGGATTATAGGCCTATGCCACCACTCTCAGCCTACCTGCCCTTTTGTTGCCAGACCTCATTATTTCCTCTGTTTCCTGTTTTTCTTTTAGCCCAGATGATAATTTAAGAACATAATTGTTTTACATTTAGGAGTAAGGTCAAAAGGTTTCGGTAATAGTAGTTATTGTCACTGAAGCCACTTTCAGGCATTCTTTCCTATATTCTTTTTTAAAGTACCATTTTAGTGGAAATGTAAATCAGTTATTTTTTATAAGTACATATGTAAATCTTGGGAATTGAATTGAATTGCACAAAGAGGAATAATTTTAAAAAGCCACTTTATATCAGCAAATACTCAGATTTCCAAAACAGGTATTTCAATATAAATCTGAGTTGTTGTTTTTTTTGTTTTGTTTTGTTTTTTGGTGGAAATATGAAGTGGGCTTGGTGGAGCTTAACTGTCAATCTTGCTTTCTTGTCTAGAAACAAAAGGAGAAACACAAAATTTAAACAATAAAATGCAAAGTGGTCATGCATGTAGGACCCTTAATGTAGGACAGTCCTTATATACTTTCTCTGTATATTTCCTATACGCAAAGAAATCCCTATGACTGGTATAATATTGTGATGTAATGAGAAAAACATATTTGGTCTTCATCCTTTGTTCCTGTATCAGAGCTAAAACCCTTGGAATTTCCTGAGTGATAGGAATGAAACAAATATTTTGTTATTTATAATAAACTCCTTTCAATCATACTTGAGTTTATACCATGAAGTGATGCCTGGTTGGCCTGTAGAGAGTTTCTGGATGAGAACTGGTTGCCTGAGGAACCAGCCATGTGATTAGAGTTAGCACTTTAAATCCTAACCCCCTTATTATTCCTCCACCCTGAACTTCCAGGAAGGAGAGAGGATGGGAAATTGAGTTCAGTCACCAATGACCAATGATTTAAAATCCATCATGCCTATGTAACGGAACCTTCATAAAACCCCTAAATGTCTATAATCTCAGCAATTTGAGAGGCTGAGTTAGGAGGATCACAAGTTTAGGCCCTTAGCAATTTAGCAAGATCCTGTCTCAAAATAAAAAGGGCTAGGAGTATAGCTCAGTGGTTGTTATGGTTTAGATGTGGTGTCCCTCCCCATGAAGCTCATGTGTGAGACAATGCAAGAAGGCTTGGAGGAGAAATGATTGGGTTATAGCTTTAACCTAATCTGTGAATTAATCCCTGTTGGGATTAACTGAGTGGTAACTGTGGCTGAAGGAAGTGGTTCATTGGGGAGGTATGGTTATGGGATATATATATATTTGTATCTGGCCAGTGTGAGCTGCTTCCTTCTGCCACACATTCTACTGTAATGTTCAGCCTCACCTCCAGCCCCAAGGAATGGAGCCTACTGTCTATGGATGGAGACCTCTGAAACTGTGAGCCTCTGAATAAAACTTTTCTCCTCTACAATTGTGCTGGTTGGGTCATTCAGTCACAGCAGCAAAAAAGTAGACTAAAACAGAGGCAAAGTGCTCCTGGGTAAGTCCCCAGTACTAAAAAACAAAACAAAACAAAAATGCTAAAAGAGTCAGGTATGGGGAGCAGCCTGTAATTCCACCTACTCAGGAGTCTGAGGTTGACAGTCACAAACAAGAGCCCAGCCTGGGAAACTTACTTAAGACCCTGTCTGAAAAGTGAGCAAGACTGGGGATGTAGCTTACAACTAGAGTGCCACTGGGTTCAATTCCCCAATACCCCAAAACAAAACAAACCCTAAATGGGGTTCAGAGAGCCTGCAGGTTGGTGGACGTGTGCCTGTGCTGGGAAGAGGGCCTGGAGGGAGAGCATGGAAGCTCTGCCCCTCCCTCATACCTTGCATTTTGAATTTCTTCCATTTGATGTTCCTGAGTCATATCCTTTATAATAAACTGTAATAGTATGTAAAGCATTCTCCTGAGTTCTGTGAACCATTCTAGCGAATTACCAACCCCAAGGAGTGGCCGAGGGAACATCTAACTTGTAGCTGGTTAGTCAGAAGTACAGATTGCCACCTGGGACTTTAATCTGGCATCTAATGTGGCAGGACAGTCTTTGGGACTAAGCTGTGAGGCCTGCACTAACCATGAAATGTCAGAATTAAATTAAGGGGCACCCAGGGAAGTGGAGGATTGGGAAAACCAACACATTTGGTATTAAATGTTGGGAGAGTAAATTTGTTATCCCTTTAACTGTTTATACTGGCACCATTGGCTGATATTCTATGTGATTGCTACTAATGCAGCAGATGATTTTAGGCACTCTGATCAGAATATTCCTACCCATTTCTCTTGTTGACTGAGGCATAAAATGAATTTTTATTTCTGAATTTTAATCCATATGTATAGCATAAAAATAATCAATATTTTTTTGTACATTCAACTAGAGAATTCAGAGAACTATAAAACATGATCCTTTCCTCTTAAGGAGATTATAGTGCTACAGATATTTGAATATTATGTTTCAATTTGAGGAAATTTTCATATATTACATTATTTCTGTTTCAGGGTAATAGATGGTCTGGAGACCCTAGATGAATTGGAGAAGTTACCAGTAAATGAGAAGACATATCGGCCTCTTAACGATGTGCACATTAAGGATATAACTATTCATGCCAACCCATTTGCTCAGTAACTCTAATAGACCTGGACAAATACTTGGCAAATTGCTGAAACATACGCATTGTGGTTTGCCCACTTTTAATTATGTCAGAGATTTTGTCATTCTGTTGGCTTATAGCAAAGATCATCTATGAGCCGTTGGTACCAAGGGGGAACCCAACAGCTTTTACCCCTATTCTTGGAGCATATTCTTTTCTACTATTATCCAATATATTTTTTAAATTTAATATAAAATATTGCCTTGTTTAATTTTTTATTCCATGTAGATATTCAATTTAAATGTTGAGCTTATACTAAATGCAACAATTTTTGAACACCCTAAGTACAAACTAGTACCGTAATTAATCCATAACCTACAAATATTGTCTTCCATGAACTTTTTACTTTACGTTGTTAGAAAGAGAGGAACAAGGTAAAGAGATGGTCTAGAAAGACAAGCCAATCTATTTGCTATTTTTCTCTGGCGGTTAGATTTACAGTAAAGCTCTTGGTGGAAGCAAAAATAACCAAAATGGGGATCAGCAATGCTTTTTATTAAGCAGCCGAGGGGCACATTTTCAGGAGAGAAAATGGTGACAGACTACAACAAGGGTCTGAGTTTTACAGGGTTTAGCAGAGCCTGGCCCTGGGATGAGTTGGTCAATTACTTTTGATGGGCTCATTTAGGGTGGGACAGGAGGACTGGTAGGGAAGTTCCCTGGAGCTATTGTACTGGAGACAGCCAGTTCTGTCTGATTGGGGTCAGGTGCCCTTTCCTTTTTCCCATTTTCCCTTCCTGCCTTCCTTTCAGCAGAGGTCTGGGTTTCTGAATGTCAAAAGCTCCCACAGACATCTCCCTACACACATGGCAGGAAGGCAGGTGGGGGAACAGCTGTAGAAAGGGGAAGTGTCCTGGAGTTTATTTTCCATGTCCTTCACGTAGAATACAGTAAGCTCAACATTTTTCAACTGATTTGCTCCTGGGACATTTTTTAAAAGCGGATCTTTAAAACCATTGAAAAATGCCACGAACTGGTTAAAAGCACCAGTCATGAGTCCTGGTCTGGGTTTGCAACATAGCTGGTCCTAGTACTGTGTGCTTGTAGACAAGTTAACATCTCCAGGTTTATTTAGTTTAGTTTTCTCATCCACAAGTTATATTTCCTGAGACCATTGTGAGAATTAAGTGAAATAATTGGTGTAAAGCTCTTGGCAGGTACTAAGTGTTTGTACCAGGTAACTGCTTTCCTAACTAACATTCAGGTATACCATAGGGCTTTTACCTATTCAAGGCTTTTACCTATTCAAGCCATTTACCAGGCTCTGTTGATTTTGTCAAGAACCACATTCCGTTATTAAAAGCTTGGTCCTTGTACCAGATGTCAATCCAATAATGAGGCCATGGTTTTGAGAAAAATGAAAAAGAAGTTTTATCACTTTGCTAGCAAAGGAGAAACAGGGACTCCTGTCCCAGAGACTGTAATTCTGTCCATCATCTGGGACAGGAGGCTTTTTAAACAGGTGATTCAAAGGGTACATTCCAGGTATTTCCCTTTAGGAGTTGTAATTCACTTATTAATTTAGGAGATAATAATTTCTGAGGTCTTCAAGTGCCATGCCAAAGTCTGAATTACTTCCTTCCTATGGGGGGGGGGGGGGGGGGTGTTTGTGCTCTAGAACAAAAAAACAGCCCGAGGTGGGGATGAAAGGTAATCCCCTTTCCCCTTGAGGTTAGAGAGGAGATAAGAGATTAGGGAGAAGCAGGAAGAGAAACATCCATTTTAACAATAAATTGCAGTAGCTGAGCAGCAACTGCTACACACCTACAGCTTGGTCACCTTGACTGGGTTTTTAAATATTCCTAAAAGTGACACCAATTACACTTCATATTTTCTCATAATTTTTCTTTTATACCTTTTTTCAGTTCACTTGGTCTTTAACAATACAGAAGCCTGGTGTAACGCTGAAATGCTTGAATGTTTATAGTCTTTTCCTACAAGATCTTGCTCACTCAATTCTTTCTTTTAAATTTTTAGGAAAATCGTTCCAACCCAATTTCAGTGCGTGCGATGCCTAGCCACTAAAAACTGTTTTGTTTGCGATGCTGGGACCAAACTGAGGAAACTAATTTTAAACAGGTCTTAGAATCTTAGCAAAAGCCCAAACCAAGCCAATTACTAATTCAGAGCTAATTTGACGCTGGTGGTAAAGCGTTCTTTTAATGGCTGCAGTTAAGGAACAGAGCTATTTTGTATCCAGCTTCCCTCACTTTACTAGCGTTCAAAAACCCAGTTTTTAATGAGCTTGGACTGGATTTCTCTCCGGTTCTAACCCCCTTTCCTTGGAATCCGAGGGACCACCTGGCGCCTGCGCATAGTGCCGCGCGCGTGCCCCGCCTTTCGCGCATGCGTGCCCTGCCCCGCGGCCACGACGCCTTTGCCACGTCATCGGTGTTTTTGGGTCAAGGGCTGCCGCTGGGATTGTCAGCTCCATTTTGTGGTCGGTGCCCGTCGCAATCAGCTGTGTCTTCCGGAGGTCTTGTTGCAAGCTTCGTCTCCTTCGGCTTAGAGTCTCCAGCAGAACAGTAAGACCCGAGGTGGTGGAGGGAGTGTACTAGGCGTCCTCCTTCTATGTCGGGGGCTGCCCTCTTTTTGTTTGCCGGTTCTCCGGCTCGCTGCCTCCTATTCCCGCACCCCAGAGCTCCATAAAGGCAGCGCGCTCGTACCCTCTACCGAGCCCTTTGCTGCCAGTTTCTGTTTGCGGGGAGTAGCGATGGTGTTTGCCTGCCGCGCGCCCTGTCAGGGTCCGCTCGGTAGGGCGGCGGCCCGCCGAGCTCAGGCCTGCGGTGCCTGCGCCCGAGTCCTAAGATGGCGGCGGGGTGGAGGCCAGGCCTAGCACTGTCCCTGGGAGGTGCCGCTTGAGATTCTGGAATGTTCCTAGGTCGCCCCGCTGTGGGCGGAAGTGTCCATAGCAAATGGAGGGAAAAAAATAGTTGACTCCTGGTGGAATAAGGTAGTACGAGTTTAGAAGGCGCTCTACCCTTAGTGGTGCCCGAGAAACCGAACTAGGAGCCCGAGGGAGGAAAGAGCATAGAGTGCACAGTTTGTGTATTTATGTGCAAACGTGTTTATATGTACATGTTTCTGTTACTATGTGTATGTACACATGTGGTTTTTGTGTGTGTGTATGTGTTCAGACACTTTTTGGCGGGGGCTCAAACGGGCCACCGCACTTGGCTTGCATGTGTACTTGTACTGGAGACAACGAGTAAAATTTTAGCAAAGTTAAATTGGGGTTCCTCAAATTCCTTTACTACGCCTCCTCCCATACACAAACTTTAAATAAATCTGGGCATGACATGGACAATGCAGAATGCTTGTGAATAAAGTTCACAAACTTCAAAATATGGGACAGTGCAATAATTTATTAGCAATTTCTGATTAAAAGGTTGTAACAGTGAATTTGTAAAGAGTTATATACTGTTAAAAGTTACGATGTTGGGACTGGGGTTGTGACTCAGTAATAGAGCGCTTGCCTAGCATGTTTGAGGCCCTGGGTTCCATTCTCAACAAACACCACATAAATAAATAAAATACACTGTGTCCATTACAACCAAAAATATTCTTTTAAAAAAAGTTACAGTGTTAGATACAATCTAACTGGGATGATTTTGTCTTTTATGTAGATGAGACACTCGAAGAGACCTTACTGTCCTGACTGGGATGAAAAGGACTGGGATTATGGAAAATGGAGAAGCAGTAGCAGTCATAAGAGAAAGAAGAGATCATATAGCAGTGGTCGAGAGAACAAGCATTGCAAATACAATCACTCTAAAACATCTGATAGGTAAGAAGGGTGTCTGAATATAAAAACCACATTTTTATGGTGATAAAACTAGTGTTATTTTGTGGTTACCATTCCTGCTTCCAGTGAGATTTTTGATGGCTTCTAATGTGTAAAGTTGCGTGTTTGGAGGGGGAGGTAAATGTAGGTCTGGGGCTGTAACTAGTGGTCGAGTTCAACAAAGGTTAGTATTGGCAGAAAATAGAAAATATATTTTTTTTCTAGCTATTACATGGAAAGCAGATCTATAAATGAGAAAGATTATCATAGCCGACGCTATATTGATGAGTACAGAAATGACTACAGTCAAGGATGTGAACTTGGACATCGCCATCGAGATCATGAAAGCAGATATCAGAACCATAGTAGCAAGTCTTCTGGTAGAAGTGGAAGAAGTAGTTATAAAAGTAAACACAGGATTCAGCACAGTACTTCACATCATCGCTCACATGGGGTATGAGCTGTTTTAAAACATTTGGAAATTTTATTTCCCATGTGGAACAGGAAAACTTGAATTTGTGTTTGAGAAAATTCTGTTTAAGATAAAGCCATCTCAGCTTTAACTTGGAGGATTATTTCTATTTGTACATTGGGTAAAATTCCAGAAAAGCAGTATGTTTAATTCTGTCATAATAGATTTTACTTACTAGTTGGCTTCTAATTGTCATTTCAATGAAAATAGTGAAGGTAACATAAAAGCAATAACAAGACATTCTGAAAGGTTTTTTATAGTACTTCAAGAATTCTGCTTTGACTTGATAAGTTCAAACATCACAAAAAAATAGACATTTTTGTATGATTGATAATTAGATGTACTTTTTTGTCCTAACAAAGCATGTTCTGTAATCTTTCATTAAACAAACTATAAAAGATTTGAACTTTATGGGTTATGTATTAATTTGGTGATAGCTCAGATGACATTTAAAATACTGTAGTGTTATCCTTGTATACCAATTCTTTTTTCTTCCCAAAACTAGGACTTTGGTTTTATTTACTGTTCTGATATTTGTTTTATTAGATTAGCTAGGAAATCTTAATTTGGCCACAGTCTACTTTAACAAGTAAATATTACATCCTACAATTTTGGAACATTAAATTAGGACACTAGAAACTTAAAATTATGTTTCAGTGTTTCAGTAAATGCTACAACTAAGCATTTTTTTTTTTTTTTAAGAAAAACAATTGTATTTATGTTTTGTTGCCTTACCACTTTGAGTATCTTATCTGAAAATCTGTTCCTTGCCATGTTTTTCTCCTGTTAACATAAACTATGTGCCCTGTGAATTTCTGGGGACTGAATTTGAAATTGCTCCTGCCAACCGTTTGTGGCCTGGCGTGTATCTGAATGCCTGAATATCTCCCCGCTGAATGAATTTCGTATTCTGCCCTGAATTCACTCGGGTATATTGATT